CAGGTTCACCAGTTCGGATCCTGGGCGTGGACCTACACACTGCTCATCAAGCCATGCTGAGGCGGCATCCCACATAGAAGAGCTACAACTCTACAACTATGATACACAACTATGTACTGGGGCTTTGGGGAGAAAAAAAGAAAAAGAGGAAGATTGGCAACATATGTTAGTGCAGGGTCAATCTCCTCCCTCCCCCCCACCAAAATCCTTTAAAATAAATAAGTACTGTCTGCCAAACTGTTTCCTTTCTCCATTTAAAAAAAAGCTGGTGGTTTTTAACTCAGCTATTACAAAGAAGTGCACATTTCACTTGACAATTCTTCCAATGAATATGGTTTATTGCCATTCATAGGCTAAGGACACCTCAGCAAAACGTTATGTTCAATCTAATTTCAACACCTCAATATGGCAGAAAGTGGTTTATTGTAAAAGATCTATCCACCTGAGACACTTCATTGTTCTAGGCAGTGATCATCTGATGACTATCATCTGCAACTGTGCTGTACTGATTTCCAAGTCCATCTTATGGTAACTGCATTAGTTTGATTTGTTTTTCACTGTGCTTCCTACCAAATGCCTCCTATTTAAAAAATTTAATTATATCCTAACTCCAAAAAAGATTTCAGATGGCTACTGAGATACTGCATCACGTCATGGAGAGTGAAAGCCCGTTTCCTCATCAGAGGGCTGACTGGCCCCCAGGTGAAAGCAGCTTCTTCAGGGGTACACAGATATAAGGGAAGGGTCACCAAGTCCCTCTCGACTCACAGTGGAGACAGGGAGAGAGAAACGTATCAACTCACTGCGCTGGCAGCAGGGGTGTTGGAGTGGGGAGGCCAGAGGGTGCTGGCAGGTACAGATTTCATTTCAGGCTCCATTTGTGCTCTTCTTGCCTCCTCCTTCCTCACTCCCTCCCTGCACCTCCACCCATCTGCCTGGAAATTTGCATAACTGCCCTGTAAGAGTCCCATCAAATACTCCAGGCTGGGTGGAGTCCCTAAGCAAAGCTGGCACACAGTGTCGATTCTGGAGTCAGGGTACACAGAAGCAGTAAGGGCAGGAAATCTGGAGGGAGAGGCGGGAAAATGAGTGGAAATGAGGCCTGTTCCACAGCAGATTCCGAGGTACATCTGCGGGCGCTGCTGCCCATGGGCCCCACGGCCCCTGCTAACTTCCTGCTTTCATTTGACCAGATCATGACTGCACTGCTGTGATAAAAGCCTAATTACGACCAAGGTCTCCCCAACGTTACGTTATCTTCTTAAAACACTATTCTTAAGTCATTTTCCCACATAAAGCCTCCTTCAGGGGCTCTCCTCTGCCAATCCTAGAAGTCAAGGTCCTTGGCCCAGTGTTCAAAGCAACCCACAATCTGACCTCGGTGACCCTTTGAATATCTTCCTCTCTAATTCAGCCGATCTTCTCACTCTTCTCAGAAACTCATGCCCATCCTGCTGTCGCACATTTGCTCAGGCTGAGCGCCACCTGTCTACAGTGCTCGCTCTGCTCCTCTGCAAATCCCAGCCATCTGCCGGGACCCTGATCCAAGTTCCATCTCCTCCAAGAAGGTTTCTCTGATCCCCTTGGCCCTTAGGGATTTCCCTGTCTTCTGGAAATACAATAGCCCTTGGTGCCATAAATTCATTTCGTCCTTGATCATGTATTGTCTGAAACGTTCAGATTTCCTTGGCCTGGCATAAATCACCCATTTATATGACAGATTTTCAGGCCACATCTCATCTCCTCGACTATACGCTTTTGAAGGCAACATGCGTTTTTGGCATATGTATAGTGCTTAGCGTCAGTTTTAAGCACACAGTTGGTACTTAGTAAATTATTTCTTGGACAATGAATAAAATGAATGAATTCCTGAGTCATCTGGACCAACGATCTTCCTGGGGTCATGTTAAATGGCACCACAAACATTTCCTGACAGCGATCAAAGAGAGTGCAGACAGTTAAAAAAGAAGAACTCACTTATAAATTAATGAATAAAAAGACCTGCATTCATAGAGGGCTGCAGCCACAGAGAAATGAGAGACATGGGTGGAGGCGGCTCAGAAACAGTGTGGCTTCCACGATGTCTTCAGCCTCACTCTGAGATGCAGGGTCAGAGCTCTCCCGTTTCCTCCTGTCGGGCATGAGCCCTCAGTCTGAGGTCTTTCTGTTTTCCGATTCTGGGGAATTTATGCTTGTTACCTTCAGGTATTCCCACCTCTGCCACAGTCATCTTCTCTCTGCACGTGGGGACTCCCATCTCTCTCCATGTCTGCTGCTTTTCATTCTGTTTCTGTCCTTCCTGCTGCCTCCCTGAGCACCCCACTGTCACCTTCCGACTCACGAACGCAGGCTGCAACAGTCTCACTCTTGCTACGAATCCCGTCTTCCTACTCTTGGTTTCCTCCTGGATCTCGATGTGGTTCTTTCCTATACTCCTGCTTTGTGGTCTCACTTCTTGCTACTAGTGTCTTCTTACCTTCACCTCCCCATTGTGAGCATCATGCTTGCTTATGACAGCTCTGCCTCACACACCATGCAGCTCAGCCCTCTCCTGTGGTGGCTGTGCCCCCCAGAGGTCTACTTTTCCCATGTGAGCTCTGCTTCACGGGGTGCAGGGGGAGTGGCCTATGTCAGCTGAGGGGGATGAGCTCAGGCAGCTGAGGGACACTGTCCATCACGCCCTTTGCTGGTCTGCAGGCAGCTCCTCTCCCCCTCCTAACTTCTTAGGGACAAGCTGCACTGGAAGAGGCCTCTCCCTGAGGGTAATCCACAGCCCTGGGATTGGGGAGGGCTCAGGTGGGGAGATACATGGCCGAGGGGAGCTGTTCAGTCAGCCCAGTTTCATTACCCCCTCACCCCAGGGTTTTGGGTGGATTGGGAATGTTGCTGCAGAGCAAAGCAGCAAGTCCAAGTTTTCTTTTCAACGCAGCAGCTCAAGGCACCCCCAGGCAACCCTGCCCAGGCTGCAGTCCCTCGCAGGGGACTGCCCTGGGGCTGGTCCCTGTGTTGTCAGCCCCCAGAGTCCACACTTGACTCAGTAGTCTCTCCAGAGCTGTGGGGGACGGAATCAAGAGTCTGTGTATCTGTGCTGTTAGGGCATCTTGATAGAAGGCCCAGGAGAGGGCCCCCACCCAGACAGGTAACGTACCATGGCTGCACCATTCTCGCCCGCACCTCACCGGAGGTCCCTTTTTCTACTAGCAGGATAATAGCTACTACATACAAGCTTTTCAGCAAAACATAAAACGGAAAAGCAGATATTACAGGGGTGGCAGGATGGTCTAGGGGAGAAAATTGGATTTGGAGGCAGGAAGCACACGTCCCATTCTGAATCCTGCCAGTGTAGAGGATCTTACATGCAGGTTCTACTGCCCTGGAATATCCCATACATTTCCTCAGTCATATCTGCAAGAGCTCTGAACTTCTAAAGAGAATGGTGGTAGAAAAAAATCGTAATTTTTTTTACTGCTAAGAATAAACTGAAAGATTATACTTCAACTCAAGCAAGGAATTAAATAACTTCTCTTTTCAGGATAGCCTTTTCTTTTTTCAAAAGAAAGTCCGGTTTCCAGTATGACCAATCTTGGTACTATCTAATAACACTCCCACAACAAACAAAAGCAGCAAACTCCACACGCAACTGATCCAGGAGGGAGGAAGTGGCTTTAACTCTCCGAGAGGAAAGACCAAGCATCTACCTAGGATCCTGAGTCCACGTCTATAACGTGGGTCCAAAACCTGGGTAGATTCCTTGGATCTGTGTAATCTGGGATCCCGAATGTGAGAAACCCCAGAGGAGTGGGGTCACTGGGTAGACACAGCAGGTGCCACTTACCAGCGCAGGGCGATTTTGATGGGAGTGGTGAGGCACGATGTGAACAGGTCGGCTGGGAGGTCGGGGATCATGGGCAGGAGCTCGTTGGCCTCACAGGCTGCCAGCTGAATGCAGTTCTTCATCGACGGGGGCAAAGGCATCTGCGCAAGTGGGTGGTTTGGGTTAATTGCAGCGACCTGCAGGGTAACATTAAGGAAGAGTGAGTGAATTGGTTGTTGTGCACAAGTGAAGAGTAAGTAGGGAATGTAATGCCGAAGGAGAGAATCCATCAACTGAGGTCTAAGGCTCTGGGTGTCCCTGCAAAGTCCTTTGGAGAGAAGCACACTGTTGAATTCTCTCCTGGAGAATAACTACAAGCTCTCATTGTACAAGGTCCCTCCAATGACACCACAAGGCTTGGTCTCTGGTAAATGAGTTTTTTTTTATGGTTTTCCTGTGTTAAGGTCCTTACTTAATCTCTGATTATACCAGTGTCCACATATATTTCCCCCTAGGTCCCTTATGGTGTCTTACTGTTTATTTTAAAATTCGGTCTTTAACCCAGCATAACCTTATGTTGGTGTGTTTGGTGACACAGAACGACGTTCAGGGTTAGAAAGTGAACACCACCGCCACCACTAACGTCACCACCAAAAAGCAGACGGCAGAACCTGAGTGTGGGTGCTGACCTACCACACCCAGAAAGACTGGAAAGCAGATGCAGAGGGGCTCCCAGCCTAGTGGTGGTCAAGGGTGATTTCATCTTCTCATATCCTTATCTGATTTCTCTACATGTCCTACAAAGAAATATGCATTACCTTGGTAATCAGGAGAAAGGTTTTGTTTAATACAAAATTTCATTTCTCTTTAAAGCAGGAACAGTAATACTTGCTTGATACATGCTTCAGTGAGATTTTGGTAAGGGAAGGGTGCCAGACATGAAGCTGACAGCACACTGAATTTTAGGAAGAAAAGCAGCAAAGTAATTCTTGTATACTGTGAGGATGCACACAAAATTTCATTTTTGACTGAATGAAATCTAATTAAAAGTGTAAATCTTTTTTTAAATTAATGCAATGCATTCAACAGTTAAAAAAAAAAAAATCACAGGACCGCCAGATATGTGGTTTCACTACACCGTCATGAAAAAGAGCAGTATTCAACAAAACCCAGAACCCTGATGTAACCAAACACAATCACTCTAGCATTTTGCGGATTTTGATTCCCTTCCCCTCACTACACGTTGCATGTATGTGACAATTTTCCACAACAGGTTTTGCTGCCATTTTCAGAAATATGAGGTGTACGAGAATTTACGGCATTTGGGGTAGTACAATTTAACCAGTGTACCCACGGCTCTGCCTGCTCCTGGAAATAGTGAGGCAGGACACGTCGGAACTAGTTCCCCAGCAAAGCGCCTTCAGCTCCGCTTAGGGAAGCAGGGCAGCGATGCACAAAGATGCCATGATGAGGCATCGGGCTTGGTGTAGGAAGGAGAGGAAGGGAGGACTGGGAGCCCCTGGCACCTCCCTCGGGGCTGAGAAGGCTGAGTAGATAGGAGATGGACGGCGGGGTGGCAGTGTGAGAGGAAATAGACAAAACAAGAAGATTACACCAGGCTGCTGGAGAGAGAATTTGCGTTTCCTCTTCTTCAGTTGCCCTGAATCATGATGTTTGAGTATAACATTTAGGTAACTAAAATAACATAAAATAAAACCCAGAAAATACAGATTTACAGGTCCACACAACTTGCAGGACCCCATCACTCACTCATCTACAAATATCCATTATTTGCCCAGAATGAAAAGCTCTTCACCACTGGGCCCCAATGTAACCAGCCCGTTCTGCTTAGGGATTTACAAAACACAGCTCCAGTTCAAACCTTATAAAATGAAGTTTAATGACTGAACACACTTCCTCCATGCCATTCAGCAACAAGGATCTGGAGAATCAGAGAAACAGAATGCGGATTATTCCACCTCCAGAGCCTCTAAATTATTTGCTTCATAAGCAACTCCTTGGGTTGTAAAGCACGACTATTCTCTTTCCATGCAGACCAGAGCAGAGCTCCATGAAGAGGTGCTGGATGTTTTAGATGACGAGGAGCAGTGAGGAGGGCGGAATGGGTCAGAAAGGCATAAGTTTTAATCACCCATGGCTACTAATTTGTTTCCTGACTTGAAAAGAATGTTTATGTGTCTCAGTTTTTGCTCCTTACTAATAATGCCTCTGTTTGCATGGTTGTTGATATTTCTCAAAGCTTTCTCTCATTTACTATTTCATTTGTTTTATACAACATCCCCAGGATGTAAGTTTTATTTCCATTTTTAAAGATCTTTTATGATGAGGAAACAGAAACTCCAAGAGATGATGTGAACAGTCAGTCACTCAGTCAGTAGGTGGGCCAAGAAAGCGAAGGCTGCTCCTGTTACAGGGCATTTCTCATTCCAGTCTGCGTGCTGTCAGCCCAAGGTGATGCTCCCGCAGCCCTGAGAGAGCCATGCAGTACTGTTAGGTAGCGAGTTTACTCAGTATCTCTGTGTATGCCTGCCTCAGACTGCACCTCGTGGTCCACTAGCACTTGGCCCAAAGCCTAGCAAAGTACTGGGACATGGGAGGCACTCCGTGAATGCCGAATGAGGAAATGAGACAGGTAGATGTAGAAAAATCTTTATCCCAAATATGTCTATTAGGAACTAAATTTCCCAATTCAAAATCGTCGACGACAGAAATCCTAACGACTTAATAGGCCCCTTGCAGTATGCTGGAGTACAAACAAAGAGAAGGCATCACGTCTAGCTGCAGGTAATCCTAAGTATGGTACCCATCATCACCTTTCAGCGGGAAGTGTTCTAATTCCTTCCTTCCCATGACACCACTGGGTGCACAGAAGGCAGATGAGAGCTCTGCTTTAAGGATAATTAGAATCAGTAACATTTTTTAAAAAATGACATTCAAGACAAAGTATTCCACCAATGAATCATTATTTTTCAGGCTTGCTAACCCAGGAATACAAAAAAAATCTATTTTAGGGATGAGTTATTTCCCATACATTGTTTTGGTTTTGTATTTATCTGTGATAGTGACCTTATAATTGAAATTACTCTTTGGAAATAGCCCGCGTGTAAGGCTAACTATAGTGAGTCACAGCCCTTTTAAAAGGTGCCCAGGTGTAGAGGTGAACAGTTCCAGCTGGGAGCCATCTTTCATCCAGAAGGACACAGGTGAGATGCACTTTTACCCAAAAGGGTTTCTCCTGGGGAATCTGGAGACTCAAGCACCAGGAAAATTTTCATCTTTAAGAGCTCACTAGAGGGCCGGCCCCGTGGCTTGGCGGTTAAGTGCGTGCTCTCCGCTGCCGGCGGCCCGGGTTCAGATCCCGGCTGCGCACCGAGGCACCGCTCCTCCGGCCATGCTGAGGCCGCATCCCACATACAGCAACTGGAAGGATGTGTAGCTATGACAGACAGCTATGTACTGGGGCTTTGGGGGAAAAATAAATAAATAAAATCTTTATTAAACAAACAAAAAAAAGAGCTCACTAGAGCCTCTGGGGGATTTGGGAGGGATTCAGAAAAATCTTCAGATGCGATACATAGCAACCAGATCCAAAAAAGACATCTGTTACATCTTCCACATGCGTGGGTAACATGGAGCTCATGCGCTCAGAGCTCAAGAGAAGGCTGGCCAGGCAGCTCACCCAAGTCCTGTGAGCCACTCACTTCAGAAAGCACTGCTGCTGGGGTCGCAGGGGGAGCACTGGCATTTCTCATTTTCTAAATAAAACTGTGACCTTGAGCTGCTGCTTTTCCACATATACATATACACACAAGAGACATCTTTATAAACAGATAATGGCACTGATAATTTCAGAGGCATCTTTAACAAGTGGATTGCTGAAAATAGCATCTACTTGGTAATAATTCCAATTCTAATTTAAAGCAACTTTTATTCTCAAGTCAATAACACCTCCTTACAATGGACATTTTTGCAAAGATCAGAGAGAGACTAAGATCTGTAAACAAATCAGTGTACTGCTTAACCAGCTCATTTCAAAGGTATTAATGGAGCATCTATCACGTGATTGATACTGTACCTAAAAACAGTAGATACAAAGTAGAAGTAGGAATTTTTTTATAAATAGTTTATATAATTTTATATATATCTGATATTAAACAATAATTTGAAAACCAAGTGGTATTTACTGCTCAGAACTATGGAATCTAGGCCAAGAGAGAAGAAAGAGTCCCTTTCGTAGGAAGAAGACTTGTAATGATATCGAAAAACTCTTCAATGTCGATCTTCAAAGGGCAATGAACCTCTTATAGCAATAGTTTGCCACAATTACCCTGAGAGTTTACCCAAATGCATCATCCACTGTTTTAAAGCCATTTAGCTGTTAGCAACTGAATAGTTTCTAAAATGCTCTAGAATCACTCTATAACTCAGGGAAGATGCTTAATAAGAAATTATAACCAAATTCCACTCCCCAGTTACTCTTACATAGTCAGCAACTAAAGAAAAGGAGATACTTAAAAATCCTGTGACCTTTTACATAAAGAAGAGACTTTCCATTTTTTGGCTATTATGAATAATGCTGCTATGAACATCTGTGTACAATATTTTGTGTGAACATATGTTTTCAATTCTCTTGTGTATAAACCTAGGAGTGGAACTGCTGTGTCATAGTAACTCTAGGTAACTCTAGGCTTAACATTTGAGGAACTGCCAGACTGTTTTCCAAAGTGGCTGCACCATTTTACATCCCCACCACTAGCGTGTGAAGGTTCCAATTCCGCCACATCCTCGCCAACACTTGTAATTATCCATCTTTTTTATTCTAGCCATCTTAGCAGATGTGAATTGCACCTCACTGTGGTTTTGATTCATTTCCCTAGTGACTGTTGATGTCCTTATCTTGCCTTATTGCGCTGGCTAGAAGTTCCAGTACTATGTTGAATAAGAATGGTGAGAATGGACATCCTTACCTTGCCCCTGATCTTAGGTGGAAACATTGTCTTTTAGCATTAAGCATGCTGATGGCTATAGGTTTTTTTTATAGATGCTCTTTATCAAGTTGAAGAAGTTCTCCTCTATCCCTAGTTTCTAAGAGTTTTTTTTATCATGAGAGGGTGCTGGATTTTATCAAATGCTTTTTTTATGTCAATCGATATGATCATATAATTTTTCTACTTTA